CAGTAAATTTTTTACCTACGTGACTTTACCGAAAAAAACAAAAGAGTATATTTAATCTTGGTTTGAAGCTTGAAATCAAGATAGATTCAAATCTAGCTTGATTTGAAGCTTTCGTGACTGCAGGAATCCATACTCTGTTTTATTTCTACCTACGTGACTTACCGAAAGAACCAAAGAGTATCGGAATATTTATTGCGGCCGCAAAGGAATCCGATGCGCTGTAAAGCTCTTTGCACCACCACCACCACCACACAGATGTCCAGTAAAGGGGGCACGGGTGTCAAAACAGAGTAGCAATAACAAGCAATGCAAAAAAAATACGATTGTGATGCGAATTACAGGAAATGTTAAGACATCGCTTGAAAGTTTTTACAAATATAACTAAACTATCTATACTCGTTGGTTCTTTCGGTAAAGTCACGTAGTTAGAAAATAAAATTTAACTATCTATTTTTTGTGTGTCTGACCAGGTAAAGCCCACTCAGCTATTAACTAATTTTTCAGAAGCGACATGGCCACAAATGATAGCCAAACAAAGTGGCTTATTAATGTGTGGACTTTTAAAGCAGCTAAATAATCTAAATGCACGTTTCTATGGATAAAGGTGCACGGCTATTTATTCATTTAAATCGAACACCTTTTGGAGAAATCGCTTGAAACGGAAACATCTCGCTTATTTTGTAAGGGTGTCACCAATTGAATGTGCCCCCCCCAAACGGTGTATATTGGCACACGCATTAGCACGCACGTGCTGAAGCGTGTATGGCAAATATTTTAAATGTATAAATTATACAGCGTGCAAGTCGTGTGTGTATGTGCGTGTTCTTTTCTCGGTATACACATTACAGCAGCGGTTCGCCAAGATTGTGCAGTATCTGCTTCGTTGCCACTTAACCCAGTAAACATCCGAACGCCAGGCCAAGGTTGGCCCCAACGATCCCAAGCGCGTGCCAACGTTGATCCCAACAAAGGACGAACGTTCGCTCACGAAGTTGGCATGCTCACTGGATAACCCCCCCCTCAAATCCGAATGACACATTTAGCAAACACGTACTGACATCAATACAAACATTGCATCCATGACGAATTTTATACTCGACACACTCACACAATGAATATCCCCCATCCAGTCAAACGCATAAATAAGAGCAGAGTCAAAGGCTACTAAGGCCCTCCTGGTTGTGTATGCCCAATCAGCACGGTGGCATCATTAACGACTCTGCCACAGCTAAAGCTAAGAGAAACGTGTTTAAAAAAAATTAGAGTGTAGTGATTAATTTTATGAATTTATCTTGAGTCGTGTTGATTTTACGTACATGTGTCATGACTTACAAATTTTTTTGTAATATGTAACACTGTACATACTGAGGCCGTCCCTTCCTCTGAGCCTTAGACCCCTTAATAGCTTTAATCCGGCCCTGCCTAAGAGCGTGGATAATGCAACGGCACATCAGAATCATGTGTTCATCCTGGAGGGATCGGATGAGCTTTAACGCTCACGTAGAATGTGCTCTCGCTGCGACAGCCTCCATATGTAGTGCAAGTAATAAACACCGGATACATTTAGTAAACACTTCATAACTTGAAAATAAATAACTGCATATTTACAACTTAATGACGCCTTCATAAAACAAAAATACTACCCTACAGTTTAAGCCACTGACCATCATTATCACTCACTGTGGAAGAATCCGGGTGACTTATCTGACCGGATTGAATGATTTAATCTGTGATTATGTAAACAATCGTAAATATAAATGTCATAAACGAGCAACCACTAACAGAACACGTTTAAGACCACGGTGTCAAAGTGCACGGGTTCAGAAAATTTCATACAATACGGGAGTATTTACATCACGAGAATGTTTTAATATATACAGTCTATATACAAAAAAAAGTGTTGTTTATAAAATGTGCATCTAATAATCGCTGAGGAACCGCAGACAAGCTGGAAGGCAGCTAGGCGGTGAGCAAGCACCAATAATTTCCCAAGCTCTGCAGTCCTATATGTGTCAAGATATATCCAGCCAAATTCATAAATAATCATCTGTATAATTTCACAAGCGTCTATCCGTCTGTCCAGCCTGCCACGCTATGTATCTCTCAAACGGTACGTCGGAGAGGGGGGGGGGGAGAAATACGCAAAAAAATGTTTCTCTTCTTGAGGACACCCCTGTAAAATTGTTGACATTCTGAATTTCAAACATTTTGAGCCAGCATCCACTCGGTCACGACGTCTAAATGACAATGCCATTGTAATGCGCCTTGCACTGCATTGCTCCAACCAGATGCATTGATTAATGGGTACTTAAAAGCAGGCGGGCGAGTGTCGTTGGGAAACGAATAGCATCTTCGAGTTCATATTTCCGTGTTCCAAGTCATAATTAATAAGCTACAATGCAGTGTGTAACAGATAGCAGCTTGAATGATCGAAATAGCTAGCGCCTTTTAAACCCCACAATGCCATTTATTCTAAAGCGACGCCAGTTTATAATCCGTGCGGTATTTGTTGCGACCATAACAAGACACGGGGGCAGAAGTGAACACGAAAAATTTGGTTTCACTTACCCCCAACCTGTTTTTCACACAACTGTACGTTGCTTTGTCTAGAGTTAGAAAGGCTACAGGATGTCGCAAGGTCAACATCCTGAATACCAAACGGCGAGGGGAAATTCAAGGGTCATCGAGAAGTATATACACCTCCAATATTGTCTATCCGAAAGTCTGGTAAATTACTTCAAGCGGAGGCTGCTCATACGAAATCCATATCGCTTACATTGGACTTAAGTTATATCCCGTACAAATGCACGTGCGATGCTAGAATATACATTTATAGGTATTTAATTTTAGGGAAACGTTATGTTGAATTTTTTGGTCATTTGTGCTCGTGTACCACTGCCAATATCACAATATTGTCTATAGGTGATAAATATTCGTTATCTTTAGAGATCTAACACTACATTCTCACCACTATATTCGCACCTCTAAATATTACATGTCCGCACCTTGACAAACATGTGCAGCTGTTGATCAAACGTGGGGGCATAGAAGTACGGTATAGCACTCGAAAGGAAGCCAATGAATGTTGCCGAGCTGCCCTCTGCTGCTCGCCACGTGGCTAGAGACCAAAGACTGTCATCAACTCTACCACTGGCAAATGTACAGCCCTGCAGATGGTATGGATGGCATATTTCTAGATGCAATGCATTCAGACATAATATATTATGTGTGACCTATTTTGGCATTATTATTATGATATGAATCGAAATTACCTTCATTCATATTTCTATAGATTCATAGCGTTATAAATTCACACTAGCTACCAATTATATACATAAAAAAATAAATGACAATCTACAAAGAATTTAAAGCTTTCGTGACTGCAGGGATTCATCTTCTTGGTTCTTTCGGCAAAGTCACGTAGAAGGGAAGTAATAAAATAATAAAAATGAAACATAATAAAATAATTATCACGTCCTTCACCTGAGAACGGCCGCTTGCGTTGTGGCCGAAACGTCGTGAGAATTATTTTTTTATGTTTTATTTTACGTGACTTTACCGAAAGAACCAAGAAAATGAATCTACAGAGGCTTTTGGTACCAGGAATAAGAGGAATCGATCCGCGGATCGATTAGCAAGAATCGCCGAGACAATAAATCGATTGACGCCCCTTCGCCAGATCGCGGGGGGGAAGGGCAAGGGGGGTCGGCAGGACGCCGTCTCCCTATTGGTGGATCGCGAATCCCCCGTGACGCGGACAATGGCAACGCGCGCGCCATTGGGCACACGGTTCGATTGCGACCAATCAGAAGACGGCTCGAGGAGTAGGAGGAGCTACGGGGGCGGAGCCTGATTTAGATAGGGGCGGGGCTTCGGGGGGTGGGTGGGCGTGGCCCGATAGGGATCGGGGGGCGGGGCTCCGGGAAGGGTGGGCGGTGGCATCACAGCTGCTCTGTGATGAGTGACTTAACTAAAATTTAAACTCAACTATTTTCAGAGTCTGAATATTCATACTTAGAGGAATCCGATGAGCTATAAAGATTCATTTTATTCTTAGTTTTTTCGGTAAAGTCACGTAGGTAAAAAATTAAAATTAATAAAAGTAAAATAAAATAAAAATCATGACGTTTCGGAAGCAACACAAGCTTCTGTCTTCAGGTGGAACCGTCACAGCACGATTGCTGTATCAAATAAGAGACTCTTACTTGAGTAACTTACTTGATGCAGCAGTCGTGCTGTGACGGTTCCACCTGAAGACGGAAGCTTGTGTTGCCTCCGAAACGTCGTGATTTTTATTTTTATTTTACTTTTATTAATTTAAATAAAACAATTTTACCTACGTGACTTTATCGAAAAAACCTAAGAATATGAATCCTTGCAGTCACGAAAGTTTCAAATCTAGAAATGTGATGAGTGACTTAACTAAAATTTAAACTCAACTATTTTCAGAGTCTAAATATTTATACCTAGAGGAATCCGATGAGCGAATCCGCAAACATCGGATAAACCCGCACGCGGACCATCGATAGTCTACTGCACGTAGAGGATCGCAGAGCTTGGGCAGTTGTTGTCGCCAGCTCGTCGCGTGGCTGTCACCTCTCTGCACGTCTCTGCGGTTGCTCCTGGCGACTCTGAGTCGTTCTCTTTTCACGAAAACGAGCGAGCGGGCGAACACGTTGCGCTCGCGACAAGCTGGCAATGATTAGACTGGCGGCGGAACTGTACAACATTCCTCCGACCTCGATTTAAAGCTTTCGTGACTGCAGGGATTCATCTTCTTGGTTCTTTCGGTAAAGTCACGTAGAAGGGAAGTAATAAAATAATAAAAATAAAACATAATAAAATAATTCTCACGACGTTTCGGCCATAACGCAAGCAGCCGTCCTGAGCAAGCAGCAGCCGCCTGAGAACGGCTGCTTGCGTTGTGGCCGAAACGTCGTGAGAATTATTTTATTATGTTTTATTTTTATTATTTTATTACTTCCATTCTACGTGACTTTACCGAAAGAACCAAGAAGATTCCTCCGACCGACAGGGGGTGTGACGAGCCTCTGATTAAGTCAGAATGAGATGTTTCTGTCTTTGGGGCCGTCCATAAATGACGTCACGCACCTAGGGGAGGGGGGGGGGGTCAGACATGTGTGACGATGTGTGACGAGGGTGGGGGGAGGGTTGAGAAATGTGACGTCACATCAAAATGCGCAAATTTAAATAAATATAGACAACACGTTCTACTTAATTAAATAGACTTTTTATTAAATGTTTTCTCCTACGACATCAGAGTGCAGCGCCACATTAAATACGCACTACAATGGCAATAGTTTAAAGCGATTTGAAGCATGTTTTATTTTGGGGGGGGGCAGAGCTTTGTGACGTCATATTTTAGGGGGGGTCTGACTTTTTGTGACGCCGTGTGACGAGGGGGGGGGGGGGTCAAAAATCGTCCAAAATCGCGTGACGTCATTTATGGACGGCCCCTTTTTAGAAAATCATGATTTCGAAATGAATGCGTCTTTAATAATGTATTGGTTAACAACAGCAACACTAATTAATCCACCTCGAAAGGATTAACGGGGTCTTGATACTCTTGAGCAGCGTGATACTGCATTGGGATGTCAACACAGAGAATATAATAATGTCAACGTATACATACTACAACAATGTCAAGAATATTAGAAAGTAATAATACCACAATGTTAAGAATATTATATAGTCATAATATAAGAATGTGAAGAATATTATATGGTAATAATATAACAATGTGAAGAATATTATATAGTCATAATATAACAATGTCAAGAATACTCTTTGGTTTTTTCGGTAAAGTCACGTAGGTAAAAAACAAAATAAAATAAATTAAAATTAAAACAGCTAAATTAAAACAAACCACGACGTTTAGAAGGCAACACAAGCCTCCGTCATCAGGTGGCCGCTCCAGCAAAATTACTTAGCTAAGTAATTACGCTAAGTAAATTTACGCTAACTAATTACGCTAAGTAATTTCGCTGGAGCAGCTACCTGCTGACGGAGGCTTGTGTTGCCTTCGAAACGTCGTGATTTGTTTTCATTTAGATGTTTTCATTTTAATTTATTTTATTTTATTTTTTACCCACGTGACTTTACCGGAAAAAACAAAGAGTGTGGATCCTGGCAGTCACGAAAACTTCAAATCTAGAATGTCAAGAATATATTCTCGAAGAGAGAAAGAGAGAAGCGACGACTCAAAGGGCCCAGAAGTAACGGCGAACAAACGGTGGTGAGCCGGATAACCCCCCCCCTCCCCACCACATACACACAAAGTTCTGCGATCCTCTACATATGAAGGCGTTTTTCGTTAATTAATGAGAGCGGTTTGCATCAGGCAGGAAATCGGAGCACGCGTGACGTCGACGCGGTGGTCGTGACGTCAGAGCGGTATCTCACACACACACGTGTCTAAGTTAGGGTGTGATGGACATTTGAACAATTACAGAGCTTAACAATATTTGTTTTTTATGGTGATGATTTTTCACACTCTGTTACTGAAAACAGAGGTAATGTTCGATGCAGACGATCGCCAGAATCATACACACACACGTGTCAGTGAGGGTGTGATGGACATTTGAACAATTACAGAGCTTAACACTATTTGTTTTTTATGGTGATGATTTTTCACACTCTGTTACTGAAAACAGAGGTAATGTTCGATGCAGACGATCGCCAGAATCACACACACACACGTGTCAGTGAGGGTGTGATGGACATTTGAACAATTACAGAGCTTAACACTATTTATATTTCATGGTGATTATTTTTCACACTCTGTTACTGAAAACAGAGGTAATGTTCGATGCAGATGATCGCCAAGATCAAACTCACACACGTGTCAGTGAGGGTGTGATTGACGTATGAACAATTACAGAGCTTAACAATTTGTTTTTAAATATGTCGTGATGGGTTTCCACACTCCACTAATCAAAAACAGAGCCAATGTTCGATACAGATGACACCCAGGATCACTCGATTGTACAGTCGTTTGGGTTTACTGCCCAACATCCACTAAAATATCTGGATGTCGGTGTGACTCTTAATCATCAGCCATGCACCATCCAAGACCTACCGCCAATTCTTCATCACCGTTATCTCACCGTTCTGCGATCCTGACAATCCACCCCTAGCACCCGCGCACGATCTCATTCCATCGCTCCATCTCTCCTCGTTGGTACTGTTCGCACGGGACGCCTCCCGTGCCCCAGCTCCTAGGTACGGTGCGAAAGAAGTTGACACGTGTGTGTCAATACACGCTCCGCCACTGTTCGTTGCGCTGCATTGTGCATCGTGCCCCTTGCTAATTCCATCTTGTCGTCGGGGTTAATTGCCCCCCCCCTCCCCCCGCATGCGCGTAAAACTGCGAACTGATTCTCCACTGCGAATCCTAAGAATTGTAACGCACTGGCAGGCGATGATGATGATGCTGCAATCATTCTCCCCCCACCCACCCCCTCCCCCCCATCCCCCCCCCACCCACACCAAACCCTCTCCTCCACCCCCCAGCCACCCCTTCCCCCAAACCTCATCTCCGTTTTTTTTTCTTTCAAAATTGTCATCATCCAATAAGATGTCCGGTCACGTGTTTCCCCGGGCAACTGGGGAGACCCGCGCGCTTGCGCCGTGATGCTCGTCGCACGATGCCCGGGAACATTTAAAAACCGTCTCCCGTTCGGCACTTTGCACTGCAACATCCCTGCCCGCGACTCACACTAGGGTACGTCTCTGTCTGTCTCTGTCTCTCTGTCTGTCTCTGTCTGCCTGGACTCTGAGCGGTGTTCGCGTTACGTGTATCGATCATTCTCCAGCGCGCAATGCAAATGTCTCGCAATCTCTGAGTGTGCTGGGGGGGGGTGTGTGTTTAGCAGGGTTAGGTTCAATTGAAATCGTGTGTGTTAATGTACTATGCGTGATAATTGTGCCTTCATGAGGCTGCGTTGGCTGTTGTGCACAAGCGCGCGTCGTTATAATGTTTTCACAGCCCGATACGGAACAGCCTGCACGCTAGGGGAAGTATGGACATACCCCCCCCCCCCCCGCCGAAACGGCATGGGGGGAGGAGGCATTCATCAAGTAGTGACTTGACAAAGGCGCTACTATTATTATTGTTATGATTATAACATCGCCTGATGTGCATGTTTATGTTAAAATGCATTGTTAATGACGACGGTGGTTGTGTTGGTTTTTTAAAAATCATGCAATCAACGCAAATGCGTCAATGTGTATGGAACGCCATTCCACTTGAAGTCAGGAAATTAGAGTCGGTAGTTCTAGATTTGAAGCTTTCGTGACTGCAAGGATTCATATTCTTAGGTTTTTTTCGGTAAAGTCACGTAGGTAAAACATTAAAATTAATAAAAGTAAAATAAAATAAAAATCACGACGTTTCGGAGGCAACACAAGCTTCCGTCTTCAGGTGGAACCGTCACAGCCACGACAGCTTTACTTTGATTAATTTTAATGTTTTACCTACGTGAGTTTACCGAAAAAAACTAAGAATAGAGTCGGTAGATAGATTTAAGTTTGATTTGAAAACCCCATCTCTTTTAAAGTGGCCTTCCCTCTTTAGTTTGGGTCGGTTGCCTTGGTTCTGTTTTTGGTCTCCTGCTTTTAACGCATTGTGCATTGGGATCCGAGGATGAAACGCGCATTATACAATATAATTATTATCATCATTGTGAATGCGCGTGTGGGTATGAGCCATGTCTCCGTGTGCCTGTACAGTATACGCGTGCACCGTCTCTCTGTGTTTTTTTTCAGGACCTAAATCATGCTCTCCGCGTCATCTGATCACCAGTATAGCTTGCAGGCCGTGGTTAAAAGGTGAGCACGTTTGTTTACTCTCTCTACCTCTCTCTTTTACGAAGCACCGTCGAAATCCCACTGCCAAATGATGTCCCTCCTTCTCAGGCACATCGAACACGAAAACATCGCCCAGTATTTACTTTTTTTTATTTTCAAGGCGACGGTGTTGTCGACGAGCGTGTTTGGTTTCAGTTGTTGTTGTTGTTATTTGTGAGTGTGCACCACTGCACATCACAGCAGCAGCAACAGCAGCGCCAGATGATTTTGTTTGATTTGCAAACTAGCACTGCCCATAGACTAACACTGCCCATAGACTAACACTGCCCATAGAATAACACTGCCCATAGACTAACACTGCCCATAGACTAACACTGCACATAGACTAACACTGCCCATAGACTAACACTGCCCATAGACTAACACTGCCCATAGACTAACACTGCCCATATACTAACACTGCTCATAGACTAACACTGCCAATAGACTAACACTGCCCATAGACTAACACTGCCCATAGACTAACACTGCCCATAGACTAACACTGCCCATAGACTAACACTGCCCATAGACTCAACACTACCCATAGACTAACACTGCCCATAGACTAACACTGCCCATAGACTCAACACTGTCCACAGACTTAACACTGCCCATAGACTAACACTGCACATAGACTAACATTGCTCATAGACTAACACTACCCACTCCCCATAGACTAACACTCCCCATAGACTAACACTGCACATAGACTCCACACTGCACCTACGCTTAGCACGGTGGGCTACGTATGCATTTCCATTGGTCGTCACATCGTGACCATGCCATCATGAAATCTGAGATTATTAATATTTTCACCATTCTTGTTTACGCCGTAATCCCCACCCCCCCCCCGTCGAATTTTCGTGTAAACGTCTGACAGCGTCGCTGTGAACAACGTTTGCTAAGCCCTTCGTGAAATCTCAACGTGCCTAGCTACTCCATTGTTTTAAGTGCAGATATCTGTTGGAGGGACACAGATGGCACACGCATTGTTCGTACACCCAGGGCGATTGTTGAAGGCGGATCCGGATCAACTGACAGAGTTGTTGAAGAATGTGTTGAGTTTTTTTGTTTTGGTTATTTGTGACTGTGCATCACTGCCGACGCAGCAGCAGCAGCATCGCCAGATAATTTGTGGAATCGTAGCCAAGTTTTGGTCTGTGGGTTTCGTTCAGTTTGGTCGACAGCTAATAGACGAATGACCCCGGTATAGCATTTCTGTTAGCGAGCACCTATGAAGGCCGGCACTGCACAGGAGGGGGTGGCCAACACCACGCCCGGCCGCCTTTGTCTTCCCAGTGCTGATGTCTTTCACGCACCATGAGCGGGTGAGAGGGGAAAAAAACTGAAATTAATAATGACATATTCTATGGGTCCATCTTCTTGGTTCTTTCGGTAAAGTTGTGGCCTAAACGTCGTGAGAATTATTTTATTATGTTTTAGTTTTATTATTTTACTATTTCCATTCTACTTGACTTTACCGAAAGAACCAAGAAGATGAATCCCTGCAGTCACGAAAGCTTCAAATCGAAATTCTATGGGTCTCTCGGTAAAGCCACGTGGATAGAAAAATAATACTAATCTTCAGGTGAGAAGACGATTGCTTGTGTTGCGATCGAAACGTCGTGATTTTTTTTTATCTACGTGGCTTTACCGAAAGACCCATAGAATATGTATGCCTGCAGCCACGAAAGCTTTAAGTCACAATTTAATAATGAAACACAACATCCAGATGTACTTGAAGAAGACAGTTGATCATCGTCGATAATTGGCTGCGATGACGACACGTGGACGGGAAACTTGCACGTTGACAAATACAATGCATACAAAAGTTGAAAAGTGGCCCCCCAAAAAAGTAGCGCGCGGAGGTGCATGCTTGGGGAAATTGCCGAGGCAACAAGGGGGGTGGGGGGGGCGAAGCGCGGATCAGAACGCATGCACAGATTGACCACGCGTCGCATTTGCTGATGGGAAATGTAAGCGGGGCACGTCACCAGATTGTAGGGATGGCGACCTGTGAGTGTGGAGAGACTGGGAACCCAGGAGAGGTCACAGGCCCGAGAAGAACCTCCTTTGTGGAGATGGAACCACGAATCAGCTGGCGAGGAGGGGTGGGATGCTAAAGCGACGTCGTCCAGCAGTGCATGGACCGTGGCCGCTGACGATTTCATGTTCACGTCACGGAGTCTCAGGCAACACCAGCCGCTGTTGTAATTGCCACGCGATCGTGTTTTAAACGCGTTACATATATTATATCTCATCAAGCTCTTCAAGGCTGCATCTGTCATACACATGTGTGGAATAAATGCCACGCATTATAGTGCTGTATTCGAATGCTTAACGTCGATTGAATGAGTATATCCTCCATATCGTAGACATTTTCACGCTTCTGTTCATTGAGATGAGTTGCAAAGACGGTGAGAAAACGTACGCGGTTCACAGTAAACGTGCGACGACTGTAGTGGAAATGTAAAGCTTTTAAAAAATTGTTGAATGTCATCATGCAAAGGTTAAACGTGGAATGAAGTGCCCTCAACGGCCGAGAAGTGTAGCTGGCGGTTCTGCTTCGCGTTGCCGACTCTCTGTGGGCGTTCCGTGGCCCAGGGTGTGACAGCTGATACGGCCCGACACGAACGTTCCACCAACAGTCAACGCACAGTGCCACAGAACACGATCAACATTTTTTTTTTGCCAGGACCAGACCCCCACTGAGCTCTATAGCTCGTCTTCATGAAGCGACCTGGCTAACACAAATGATAGCTACTCAACGAGGCGTGGCTTATCGTGTGGACACATTTTTTTTAGCAGCCAAAATACTCTAAACCGCGCGATGTTCATTCTAAATGTGGAGGGGGGGGGGGGGGAAACCCGGAGGACCCGGAGAAAAATCTACGCGGCCACGGAAAGAACACACAAACACCAAATATACAGCAACAGCAGGCGTCAGGGTCGGGGTCGGACCCACGACCTCCTGTATACCAGGCGAGGTAGTTAACATCTCCTAGCCACCGTGATGATGATGATGATGAGAGAGACAACGCAAACTCAAAATATACAGCAGCAGCGTCAGGGTCGGGATCGAACCCACGACCTCCTGTATACCAGGCGAGGTAGTTAACATCTCCTAGCCACCGTGATGAGAGACACGCAAACTCCAAATATACAGCAGTAGCGTCAGGGTCGGGATCGAACCTACGACCTCCTGTATACCAGGCGAGGTAGTTAACATCTCCTAGCCACCGTGATGATGAGAGAGACAAGCAAACTCCAAATATACAGCAGTAGGCGTCAAGGTTGGGATCGGACCCACGACTTCCTGTATACCAGGCGAGGTAGTTAACATCTCGCCACCATGCCGCCCTCCCATGAACACATGACATCACTGCAATGCTTTAATATCTCCTTGCTTAGTTTGCAACGAGGACACGGTACTCATTGCAGAATGTCTTAGCCGTAAAACATGAAGAAGAACGGTATACGATAGGTCACCTTCCGGGCAATGGACCTTCTTCACAGAATTTCCATTTTTAAATTCTTTGAGTCTTTCGGTAAAGTCGCGTAGATACGTTTCGATCGCAACACAAGCGGTCGTCATCACGTGGCGAAGAAAGCATTTCCATTACCCAACACGTGGTCTATTACTCGCATTTTGTCCTTTAATAGCCGTAATGTTATAATCGACGGACATGTTGAGTTTTTTTTTGGTCGTTGTTACCTGTTCACCACTGTCAACGATTCAGCAGCAGCAGCAGCGGCAGCAGCGGCAGCGTCAACAAATCGTTTTGCTGAACAGAGGAGCCGCCCCTTGCTTCAGCACCCTGGACAGCGCCGCTTGAATCGAAACCGGTTAATCGATTCCGCGTTCTTAACCTGCGGCGTCGAGACAATCTCCTTGACGGGAAACATCGCTTTCAATGAGCGAGCCGCGTTTCCCTGGAAGTCAATACATTAGCCGTGAGTTACGGTATATATATTTTTTTGGGGGGAACATTTTCGGTGAGAAAATTTTGCTGCACAGAGAAACGCGATGCAAGTTCTGCAACTGCCGATTTAGATGTATCTTTCACGTTATCAATGCATGAATACAAATGAGCACTTGCGATAGCATTACACCGATTTATTCGCCTTTTAAGGTGACACATACACGGGACGGTGTCGCCACATCATGTAACGCACGGCGTACATGAGCGTGCGCCTGCGGAACTGTGAGCCACCGATAACTTTTACAATGTAACAGAGTCCGAGGTTAGCTCACGCTTGTAAACTTGTAGCACGCCACCGCGGGAAAGGGAGAGCAGTGTGAAGGACGTAACGGAAAGGTCGTGCAAAGGGGCAGGGCAGGGCAGGGTGACCGGCCAAATGTGAAAAGATGCCGGTGACGAAACTCCCCGAGGCTGCTCCGAGGGCGCACGGCTCAGGAAGGCGGAGAGGAGGAAGGATAAGGAATGACCGAGCCAAGGCGTCGGGACTTGGAGGGTGACGGAGAGGGCAGGGAAGGGCGTTGCGTAATAGTAAAGGAGCAAGCGACAGTGAGCGGGGCGGAGCAGCGTCTGTTTTCATAGGGGGAGGGGAGCGGGGGCAGTAATTCAGAGTCGGGGTGGTCACACAGAAGTCATGTGATTTAAGCTGATGTATATATATATTTATATGAACCTTTATAAATCAACGTTGCCGCGGGCGAAATTTCAAATCGACGACTTGCGGCTACGATGAAGGGGCAACGTGGGGTGGCTCTTACGAGTAACGCCTCCGCTCAGCTCTTTGGTAAAGTTGGGTAACCGCCGATACGAGAATCGACACGGGCGTGCAAACCTGTAAGTAGTGGTCATGTAAGGCGTGTGCTGATGGACACCGCATGGAGCTTCAGGCAGGTTGACAGGCAACTCCAAAGGCAGACTTCTCGAATGTTCTGGCAGACTGAATGAATGGCTCTTGCGTGAATGTGCAGGCGGTCCACATCTAAGCGTCGAGCAGTCGCGATTAATATTCATGGAGGTGGTCTCGTGAATTCTGAGTGGTCCTTGAACACAGTGGAGCATTTCCGACGCTTTACTGCTTTTTTGCCAGATTTCGTTGAGTGACGTCTCAGGCTACCAGAAGACAATAAATGCATCGCACACAGGAATTGAAACTGCACCACCGCGAACAGTTTCATTTATATTCTTGGTTCTTTCGGTAAAGTCACGTAGAAGGAAAATAATAAAATAATATAAAACAATAAAAATTCTCACGACGTTTCGACTGCAACACAAGCAATCGTCATCAGGTGTGAAATCCACAGCAAGAAAATTTGAAAAAAGTGGAGGGTTTTCCTAACGTCAGCACCACGGACAGCGATTTGGCAGTTGGCCAGATGGGCGAGTCCATCTATGTTCGGAAAAGAGGAGGGGGGAGCAGAAAATGGAATGCGGTCTGAAAGTCACCGTAAGCGTGAACACAATCAATTAAGACCCGAAATGGTTTATCAAATCCTTCCAATGATTGCTAAGCCAGAATTTACGTCAGCGCTCCGTCTTTCGGCAGCTCTGAGAGCCTGCGGTGGTGGAAATTCCATATTCCAGTGGCGGGTGCGAGGGATTTCCTCTTCGCAGGCACTTGTTGACTCCCCACGTCGCAGTCGGCTGCTGACCAATGCGCGCACGAGCCACGACACTCGTAGAACCCCGAAGGGTTGAAGAAGTCGACCCGACCTTGAGCGCCAATTCAACTCGCGCCCTTCTGTTTGCGAGCAAACGGCGTTCTAACCGCTGCGCCACGCGCGGTGGTTGTGCGTTCATCCATGCAGCAGAAGACTCATTGCCGAGTCCCAAGACTCTGTATCGGGGGGCGGGAGGGTTAATTCGGATGATTGGCCAATTGATGTTAACGAGTAATTATGGATGTGGGAGGGAACCAGACAGAGTAACCGGACAAAGCGAAGGAACAGCACAAAAGGCCGCAGGCGTTTCGCGAACCCACTTGCTGTACCGCCGTCTCTTCGTAATCTCGCAGCGGGGGGTGTTGGAGTCTCGCAGTACACACGCGCTGATCTCTGCGTGATCCACCAACCCTGTGCCTGTGTACACGGCATAACGGCTCCAGTGGCTACACGCCAAGGCTGCGCGTGCATCCTGGGCTGGACGCGCTGTTCATGTAAATGAGACAGTACAGAGAGGGAGAGAGAAATACTTTAAAATCACAGTCACCTTTAACGCTTTCCAGTTAAGCTTGAGCACCTGTGGGCACACACACACACATACGTGGCCTGTACACACACACACACACACATGTCCTGTACACACACACACACGTGTGTCCTGTACACACACACGCGCCCGGCTCCCCAAGGGAGCTCGCTCACGCCACGGCCGTTACGCTCGTGACGCCGCTTGAACAATGCCCGTGTCAACCCCACCCACCACCACCCACCCACCACCACCCCCCCACCACCACTACCCCCCACCACCACCACCCCCACACCACCCACCCACCACCACCCCCCACCACCACCACCCCCCCACCACCACCACCCACCGACCACCCCCACCACCCCCCCAGACCACCCCCCACACACCACCCCCACACCACCCCCCACACCACACCGCTGCGCCCACACCACTAGGAGCGAGACCACGGGAAGTTCCTTCGAGGCGACCTGCATCCTCTCCTCTCCGTGATCTCGTCGCCAGCGCTCATTGCGCTCGGCGCTGGTTCTTTCAATCGCGACGACGGCCTCGCTGGAGATGTAAAAGCTTCGCGACATCGTTTCAGTGTCGTTCCGCAAAGGGTGGATGCGGAGTGAAGGAGCCCCCTCCGACGGCCGAGAAGTGCATCGTGGCGGCGCTGCTTCGCGTTTGCCGACTCTGGTGTGGGCCTTCTGTGGCCCAGGGTGTGAGACAGCGAGTCCGGAATAATGGAAAACAACTTTTGTTGTTGTTGTTGGGTTCAATCGCGGAAATGTAAATGCGTCGTTAATACTGGTAGGAACCTCCTGGTTACACCAGCCTACAGGGGATTATTGTGTCCGTCGTGCAGGGAGGGGCTGGGTGGGGAGGGAGGGGCTGGGTGGGGAGGGGAGGGTGGGGAGGGGCTGGGTGGGGAGGGGCTGGGTGGAGGGTGGGAGGGGTGGGGCTGGGTGGGGAGGAGCTGGTCACCCCGTGGTGCCCTTATACAAGTCAACGTTTAACCTACTCACGCCGGCTTGTGCCCGCCCTCACAGTCGGGCATATTTGCGGAATACACCACGCCGCCGTTGACCCTGGCCATTGACCGAGCAACCCAACGTTCCTACCAGCTCCCTCCACAGGAATGTGTTTCCGATCCAACTCCACCACCACCAGCACCACCACCACCACCACCAAAAAAAACCCAACAACGCTGTCATGGATAATATTGGCTCGGGAAAAGACGACGTGTCAAACTGACAAAGTGCAGTATTGTATCGGTAACCGCTCATCGGTAACTATGAACTAACTCGCATTTTGCCCGTCCGAGGGCCGGGGGTGTGTTGCAGTAAATCTGAAACTTGCAAGCGAAAAGCAGACCGCGACATGATATTCATTGCATCAATTCGTGTGCAATTAGTAAGGGCGCGGTGACACAGACGTATTTCATTTTTTTAAAAACCACACACACACACGACTTTCTTCAGTGTCTGCAATTAATTTGGCTGAATCCAAGCTCTAGAAATGTACAGGATATATTCGCTTGACGTTCGTGCAACGAGCATTACTGGAAGGTGGGCAGAGCGGACGGGGGGGAGGCAGGCTGCCACCTGCTTCGTGGACCAGAGATCACTTGGAAGGGATCTCAGATGTAGCTCTGCGACTCTCTCTTCCGCGAGCCGTTGTCTAACACGAATGGGTTGCACTGCTCTGTGAGCAGTGGGCTTCTGCGTCTCGTGACGTGATGCTGACAGCACAATCGGGATAACATTGGGAGGAGAGCGGGGGTGGGGATTCCATATTTTTCAATGTCACAGTTGGTGTCTCACTGCTTGGTTTAACAATCACATATGTTTTGATTTAAAGCTTTCGTGACTGCAGGGATTCATATTCTTGGTTCTTTCGGTAAAGTCACGTAGAAGGGAAATAATAAAATAATAAAAATATGAAACATTATTATTTCCCTTCCAAGTGACTTTACCGAAAGAACCAAGAATATGAATCACATTTGTGTATTTGACCATGAGCCAGTGGTGGATGAAGAAGATCCACATTTATAGAGCTGGGGTCATTCTCTCCTGAGGACGACCCATTGATTAATTTCGAGTCTACCTGGAGAAGAATACATTTTTTAATTCCACTCAAATGTTTTGTAGCACACGCAAGACGCAGGAGACTTGCTCCTGTGTCCTGTGGTGGATTATGTGCAATTTAGAGAGAAAGAGAGAGAGAAATCTTAGGGAAACGTAACAGCCAGCCCCTGGGGCAACACACGTTGTGGAATCAACTGTGGCTTTTGGAGCCACTGTACAGACCGCTATAGACGATGCAGAAACTTGAGAAAAGATCTTATACACGTTCGTGGCGGGAACATAAATTGTGTGAAAATGACACAATTGTGTGAAAATGACACAATTGTGTGAAAATTACACAATGCACGTCCGTGGCGGTAAAATTTCTCGCACCTCCAATTAGCACGGTTGGCTACGTACAGTGCTAAATAAGTTCAACATACAGTACAAACAAAGCCTCCGTGACCTTATTGAAATGATGCAAGGCCAATGCTGTAACTCTGCACTGTAAGAAATCACATTTTCAGAGAACGAATTCCAGTTATTAGACACGTAATTATGGGTCATTAAACCACTTTTTCCCGGCGATTCTATGAAATGTTGGCTTTGAGGGCGGTGATTCAATTCAAGAATACAGGTCATTCCTTGTTTTTGGTGAATATCGTGGCCACTAGCTTATGGATGAAATCGATGCATCGTGACACACGCGGTGGTCACCAATGCCCCTCGTGCTGTCACGCAAGAATCCCATCACGCAGCGTGACGGGGCCTTTATTAAGGCTGCCACCTCTTGAGGTACAACGGCAAAAACATTTTAACGGGACATGTCATGGGAAGAATGAAAAAGAAGAATATTTCACGATCCCGTAAGCGGAGAGAGCTGCGTGTAAATGCGTCATCTTTGAGTGGTGAATAGTTGCTGGTACGAATGAACTGACCAAAAAAAACCGGGCGATGTCCTGGATGGAAAAAAAAACTTGCGGAATTTATTTTCATGGAAAACAAACTTAAATTTAGATTTAAAGCTTTCGTGACTGCAGGGATTCATCTTCTTGGTTCTTTCGGTAAAGTCACGTAGAATGGAAATAATAACATAATAAAAATAAAACATAATAAAATAATTTTATTATGTTTTATTTTTTTTCCAAATAATTTTATTATGTTTTTTTTATTTCCATTCTACGTTTCCATTCTACGTGACTTTACCGAAAGAACCAAGAAGATGAAAACAAACTTGTAGAATTGCCATGACCACAGCCTCTAAATATGGCAATACTGGGCAAACTGGGACAGTTGGCAACCGTGGTCTTTATGCATGAGTTTCTTTTTTAATCTGAAGGGGGCGTGTTGGGTCCTATGGGGGTAATGATGCAAATATCGATACGGGAAGTGCTCCAGTGAGGCCCTCTCTCCACCCTCCCAGCCTCCCTCCCAGCCTCCCCCCCATCCTCCCTCACCCCCCAATCCCCCTTTCACCCGTAGGGGGAGGGATAAGGGCGGTCGGGGTGGAGCACAGCGTGTGGCCCGTGATTCAGGGGCATCCAGGCGTGTTGAGTGAGCAGCTGTGTGAATATGATTTACAGCCAACTGCCATTGCACACAGACACACACACAGACACACGTGTGCGCACACACACGAGTCTCCAGAGGCACATTGCTCCCTCCACCCCCTCGATCAAACCCAAACCTGATTGTAAAACACATTACAGTCGCGATGTCGCCGGCAATGAAGTCAGCAAGCGGGCGGGTGGGACTCGGCGATGACCGCGGGAGATATCGGTCGATGAATTAAATGCAGAGATTTTTGTTTAAGAAGAAGAAGTAGAAACATATCTCCCCCGAGTGGCTGATGATGCAGTGTGATTCTTAACCTTCACTGCAGCCCTGCACCCGTTTGCTTCGAAACGCCGTGAGAATTTAATTGTTTTATTTTATTTTATTATTTCCCTTCTACGTGACTTTTCCGAAAGAACCAAGAATATGAATCATTGCACTCACGAAAGCTTTAAATCGAAATTTAAGTGCATAGGGGTTTGATGAAACAAAGTAAGTTGTAACTTACGTGCCCGTGTTTCTAACACAAAATGTGGCCACGTCTCGCACCCCCAGAAAGGGCATCTCGCACCCCCAGGTGAAGAACCACTGGTTCTAATTTTATTATAATTATTCGTGGTTTCAACAGGCCAATGTGCTCACACCCTTCAATTGATGGAGGAGTTAAAGACACAAGCCGCCAGAGGGGTGACACTGTGGCCGTACTGGTGATGCAGTAAAAAAATTACTCGTAAAAACAAAGTTTTTCACTATAAATCCTTTATATGCGTGGCGGCTAGAGTCCTCTCGTCCTCTGGCTTGAGATGGCTGCCACCTATGGGTCAGATGATTGCATGGCAGCATTAAGCAATTGGTAATTAAATATAAAACAAAAAATCCTAAAAAGTGTAAAATGTAGCAATTTTTTTCACGAAAATTAATTGTCACGCACAACGAGTCTGTGTGGAAAATATCAGCTCGATTGGATCACGGGAAGTGGGTTAAAAAACGACCGAAAGATTTGCACGGTCGTAAGCGCGCAAGCAAGCAAGCGAACTTAATATAAAAGATTTAAAAACAAAACTACTACCGCAGTCTGCGTTCCTTGGGTAGAAGAGTAACAGCGACAGTTTCAGTTTCATGTATTAGGTATAGCCCTGTGAGCTATTCGGCTCTTGAATCGGGTGCAACCGCAACAAACAAAAAACAAAAACATGAACAAGAAAACATCTTAAAGTGACTATGTGACTAAGTGCAAACAGAAAATCCAAAAAAATCCAAGCGTGATCTTGTCAGTGTTTACTACAATTTGGACCACGTTCAGGATAACCGAGGTGAAGTGTTGGCCCGTGTCAGGGATCGTGAAATGCAGTTGGGCACGGGTTGTCGTGGCCATGCTCAGGGTTTTGTTGTTGTT